TCCCCCCTGAAACACACGGACAAACGAGAGAAAAGGAAAAAATCCCCAACATACTTCCTTCCTTCTTCTTCCTCCCCTCCTAAAGCAACATACACATAAACAAAAACAAAAGCTCCTCACCACTTCATCCTTTTCTGATCCAAAAACACAGCAGGCAACTCTGCAAAACTTGCCACTTCCTTCCTTTCTAAACACAGACCAAACCGTAGCCACTAAAACTAATTTCCCCTTCCCTTCTTCCTCTTTAGCCATAATAATCCAATACAAAAAACACAACAGATAAACCCTGCAAAACTTCCACTGCCTCTTCTAAAAGCATACTCACCATTCCAAAGAAAACCCCACAGCCATACACAGAGAAGGGAATACACAGAAAGGACTTTCCCACATCTTATCCTTCTTCCCAAACACACCAAATATAACAAAAACAAAGAAGGAAAGAGTCATCAACAAGAAACAGTAAAGGCAGCAGCAAGGATGCTAAAAGAAAAGGCAGAGTCAACAACAAACATCCTAGCACTGCCGCCAACACCATCAAAAGAAACCCAAGAAGGAGGCGACAAAGATAGTTCAGAATTGTCATCAACCTACAAGTAGAAAGGTTGGTTGCCACCCAAAACCGACCACTGTCGTCATCCGCATCATTAATCATTTTGTTTTAAGTTCTTTTCAAAATCAAAACTCAAGCAACCCCAATCAAGTAACCATCTGGCCTTAATAAATCTTAAAAAGCATCATACTCGATCCATTAAATTTCACTATATTGGCGAAGCAATCAATAAAATCAGATTTGTCGCTTTGCTCTCTACTTTTTGTCTAATCTATTTCATCTTGTCATTCCCATGCTTCAGTAATCAGTATATAACAAGCAAAAGCTAGATTTGTATTGTTTAACTTTGTTTCTTCTTCTCGACTTTGCTTATTCCACCACATATATAACACATACTAAGCTAAAATCCCTACCATGAGCTACCAAAAACATACATGGAAGTCAGTTGTATACCAAAACACCAAATTTTGTGTCCATTCAAACCAGATTTCCCAAAAACCCAGAATTCAAAAACTTAAAACCTAGATCAAACCAATAACTAGTATCGTTACTAAATGTTCATCCCAAACAGTAGCCACAAACCATACCCAATCACCACAATACATAATTCCACCATCAAAGCAGAACCATTTCCTCGAATCCACATCGTTCACCCACAACTTCCAGTTTCAACACAATCTCAATCGAAATCCCAGATTCAGCAAACCACAGATTTCACCCATCACAAACTCAAAGAATCCAAATTTGACACTACAGCAATGAAAGACGAAGTAACCACAAGCAATAGCAGTGTTTATGGTCTTTTAACAGTTAATTTTCCACTTTGTTCATTTTGTAAAATTCTGGAACTTGAACCAAAATTTTGAGTTTTCTTTATGGTTCTTAGTCCCACACACCAGTTCTAAACACAACTTTCGCAATCATAAATCGAATATCAAACACTAAATCAAGCGTACTATCGTAAACCATCAACGATTACCCAATCAAGAAGCCAGCAAATCAATACCAGCAATCAAGTAAAACTCTAAATCATCAACACTGAATTTAAATCAAACCATAGTTGAATCGGTAGCCAATCTATTCTAGTTCTCGAACCTGCAAAAGGGAAGTTAATTTAGAATCCACCAAGCAAACAAGATAATCCAAAAATGAAATACAACTTACCAGGTCATGTCTGCCTCCGCTGCATCAGCCGCCGGCGACGCCGCCAGTGCTCGCCGGCAGTGACCTCACTTTCTCCTCAGTTCGCTTTTCCCCGTCCCTTCCTTGCAATAAAAGAAACCAGAAAAATCAATCGGAACCTACAATACCCTATAAACAAAACCGAACCTCCAAATATGAAATGCAAGCAAAAAAACCCTCTTACCCTCACCGTCGGTGATACCCAGAACCGCCGCCGCGTCCATCGCCGGTAAGTCTTTCGCCGGCCGCGACTACGTGCTCCTTTCCCTCGATCGAGAACAAAACCCAAGACCCAAATCGAAATCAAATCACAATCGGAAAACCCCCTAAATCGACATGCATAAGAAAACCGATCTGACCTCTGCCGTCGTCGATCTTCATCACGGCGTACACTGCCGTACTCCCTTCGCCTCCGCCGTCGCTTCTTTCTCTCGGTCTCCGCGTCGTATCTAGAGAAGAAGAAGAGAGATTTGAGTGGAAGAAGATTTGAGCAGAAAGAGGAAAGAAAAGAGGCAGACCGAAAAAAAAGGTTTCTTTTCCTTCTTTCTGTTCGCCAGACAGAGAGCAAAATCGGGTAGAAAATAGGGAAAAAATCTCAAAATACCCTAACTATTAAAAAAAATTCCTCAAATACAATACTTATAAAAATTTTTCCCAAAATACAGTAGTTTCAGCATCACTGTCTTTGTCCAAGACAGTGATGGTGTTCACCGCTTTGGTAAAAAACGGGGATAGTATCACCGCTTTAAACAACAACAGTGATGCTATCACCGTTTTCGTCCAAAACGGTGAAGCTATCATCGCCCTAAACAAACGCGGTGATAGCTTGACCGTTGATAAGAAAAACGGTGAAGCTTTATCACCGTTGATATTTAAAACGGTGAAGTTGGCGCGGATCGCTGACGTGGCGAGGAGCGGGGACTTCACCGCGTAAGACAAAAGCGGTGATAGCCCCGCCCCGCCACGTCAGCGATCCGCGCCATCCGCGCCCTTCACCGCTGCCGTTCGATGCGGTGAGGCGCGGATTGTGGTTTTTCTCCACGATCCGACGCCTCACGCCTCGCCACGTCAGCCATCCGCGCATCACCGCGTTTGACTAACGCGGTGTTGTCACTGCGGCCGATGGAAGCGGTGATTGGCCGCCATAAATTTCCAGCGTCCCCTTCCCCTTCCTTCCCCCCTATAAATACCACTCCCCCCCCTCATTCCAAACCACACCACCAAATTTTATACTTCTTTCTCCCTCCAACTTCACTCTAGTTTCGTTCTAAGTATGCTCTGTGGTTGCGGCTAAGTCCGATCTTCCGCATCAGAAAGAATTACTAGAGTCTTTGTTTTTTGTCGATACTCTCGCTAGCTTTTCGGCAAAAAATGGACGAAGAGGCTTTGAGAGTACGTAAATTTATTTTATTCTTTTGTGATTTTTTTACATGGGTGCTAAAATTTAAATTGATTTGATTTCATATTTTTTTATAGATGGGTGCTGAGATATACGACCCTAGATTGTATATCGATCCTGGCCCAAGGGATCCACGGTATTTAACCGGGCAAGATCAACATCGCTCCCGTTCAATTTGGAACAATAATCCGGTAGACACACTAAAATTATTTCAATAGTTTTACCGTTTGTATTTTTTTTATTGACTGACAATATTGTGTTTTTTGTTTTGTAGGAATCACTTATTCCCATCAGTCATCGAGGGACATGTCGATTGCCCCGTTGGCATCCTCGACTGCATCCCTATCTAGAGAGGGCGGGATTGCATAATTTGAGGCACTTTATGAGGCTTGATATTGACAACGATATGCTGACGGCAATGGCAGAGCGATGGCGCCCTGAGCTGCATACCTTCCACCTTCCCGAGGGTGAAATGACGATCACCCTCAAAGATGTTGTCATCCTCACCGGGCTCCCGATCACCGGAGATGCCATCATCGACAACTCGAGAAAACCAGAAGATGGTTGGGGGCCATTGATTCAGGAACGTCTGGGGTTCAACATGCCGACCACCACGCCCGTCGAAGGTCAGGGGCATCCACCACTGAATGCGGGGCAAGTATCGATCCCGTGGCTTGTTGACCACATCCAGATGGAGGTTAATATAGGCCCGGATACTCCTGAAGATCAGGTGGAGCGGTATGCACGTGTCTACCTAATTGCCTTGGTTGGTGGGTTTCTGTTCCCCGACAAGTCAAACCAGTGGATACAAGGCATGTGGTTAAATATGCTCCTCGGTGACTGGGACGAGATCGGGCAAAAAAGCTGGGGGTCGGCCGTCTTGGCTGGGATCTACCGCGAGTTGTGTACTTGCTCGAAGTTGGGAGCGAAACAAGCTGGTGGTGCGATGTTCATACTCCAGCTCTGGGCATGGGAGCATCTTCCGTTTCTCGCACCTCGAGACCCTCGGGAACTCTGGTTGCCAGATGATGAGCTACGATTTGTAGCAAATCCTCCATATGGTTTCAAGTAAGTTCAATTTAAGTTGAATTTATTTTAGATATGCAATGGTAGCTAGTTAGGTGAATTTAGATTTTAGTGAACTTAGTGAACTTAGTATGCAATTTTAAGTATGCAATTATAGTATTTTAGTGAACTTAGCTATCTTCCAACTAAGCGGATTTAGAGACATTTTAGGTCTGCAATTCTAGTATTTTAGTGAATTTAGATATCTTCCAAGTAAGTGAATTTGGATTTATTCTAACCAAATCGCATTTAGCTAATTTAAAAATTGCTTATATATGTACTTTTGCTTAATTAGGTGGATCGGAGCAAATACAAACGACCACCAGCCCGAGCACTCTTTACTGTTTTATCGTGCTGAATTTGATAAGCCTTGGTGGAACCAGGTAAAAATATTGAATGTCATGATTTTCAATTTATTAGGTGGAGTGGATATAATTTTTACTAATTCCATGAATTTTAATGATTGTAGGCGGTATGGGATCCATATCCAAATGAAGTGGTTGAGTTGCATCGTCTTAGACATCCCGAGGATCAAGAGACATGGTTGTGCAAGGTGCCCTTAATCTGCTGGCACATGGTGGAGTGGCACCTGCCCGATCGATCTTTGAGGCAATATCGATTGGAGCAACCAATTCCAGCATCCCCACCTCAAGGGTTCAGGGAGCTCCACGCCATTGACCTACGCTACAACAAAAAGGATTGGACCCGCAAGCATGAATTCTACATCAACATATGGGAGAATAGAAATCAGTGGGTGGTCCAAGGGGCGCCGGAGACAAGGCCAATGGGGTACCACGATGGCTACATGCGGTGGTATCGGAACTTCACGCTAAGATGGGTGTCAAAGCAAGGTGCTGTTTGGGGCGCAGTGGTAAGTGAATTCCATTTTGGCCTATTTTAGTTAATTTTTGTAGTATAATTACATGCCTATATTAGATGATAGATTTAATGTTAGTTAATTTTTGGAGTATGATTACATGCCTATATTAGCTAGAATGTTAATTAACATTATTAGATTTAATGTTAGTTAATTTTTGTAGTACTGTTACATGCCTATATTAGATGATAGAAATCATTATTAGATTTACTATTAGTTAAGTTTGTACAACAATTTATTAGGTTGACGGTTTGGAGCATGCGAAGCACACCGTCGAGAGTGCAGCCACCATGGATGAGCGGAAGACATCTTTTTTGCGCAGGCTTTTCAACAACTTGCTCTGTTGTACCAGAGAGCAAAGGAGGGATGTCATATTATACCCTCCAGTGCCTGCTCCGGCCCGACCTTCATTCCGTGCTGATGAGAGGATTGTGCCCCCACAAGAGCCCCCACGGAGGAGCAGAAGAAGGGTGAGAGAACAAATTGAAGAGCTTCGTCCGTCTCAGCAAACTCAACTTCCTCAACCATGGCCACATTGTGAGTGGGCTACTAGTACTGAGGGAACCGGAGGGTCGTCAAGCTATGCCCCGACTCAGGAGCATGACATGTTCACCCAAGCCACCCCTCAGTTCCACCATCAGCAACAAACTACTCAGTATCAGACCCCGCAACAACAACATACATCATCGACTTTCTACCACGCTTCTGGTCCACCTCAGCAATCTCCACCCCCACCACCTGTCTACACTCCGGTGGGTGGTCGGGTTAAGAGGAATCCGCGCGCAGTTGTCCAGCGGGCTCGTGAAGAAGGAGGAGGAGGTAGAGAGGGAGGAAGAAGGGGCCGAGGAGGTCGTGGAGGAAGAGGAAGAGGAAGAGAAGGGGAAGTGGAGGGAAATGAAGACAACCAGTGAACTATCTATGTCGTTCTAATTTAGTTTCATCTTTTTTTGTTTTCCATGAACTATCCATGTCGTCTAAATTTGGTTTGGGTCTTGTGTTGTTTTCCATGAACTATCTATGTTTCTAAATTTGGCAATCGGATTGTGTTGTTTTCCATTAACTATCTATGTCGGCTAAATTTGGTTGGTTTTTACCCCCATGTTGTAACAAAATGAACAACAAACGCCCTTTATTACAATCACTCAACAAGATTAAAACAAGAAGTCCAAATTAAACATCACAACAACGAAAACTACTCAACAAGATTAAAACAAGGAAGTGAACAACAACAACATCAAGGTTGGTTCGGAATTGGCGCCGAATCTTGCTCTAGAGGTGGACCTGGGCAACGCCTCTTGTCATGACCCGGTTGTCTGCACTTTGAGCAACGCTTTGGACCCCGTCGGGCACGTTGTGATTGGTCCATTTCATTGTGAATCCTTTCGGTCCTAGGACGACCTTTGGTGCGCTTTAAGTGTAACGGTGGGATAATCAACTTCCCATTGTCTACAGGCCAATAAGCTTCATCCGGCAGGGGGCTAAAACTTGACGAGTAGGAGTTCCTGATCGCCTGTTCCGTGTAGTAAGGACTAACCAAACTGTAAGCGCTGAGGGTTATCGACTTAGCTACTGCCATTGCATGTGAACAAGGTACTCTTCTGTTTTGATACTTTTGGCATGTACACTCTCCGGTGCGAGTTTCTACGTGTAGAGTAACGGATTGACGATTATGCCCACGTCTTCCTCCACCCCAGATACCTGTTTGCACAGCAAAAATACCTTCATTGCGGTTGAACAGAACAACTCTGTGCTTACTTGATTTCTCTTCGATCTTCTGCATGCCATCAAATATATGCTTAGCTATTGAATGACCAGCACGCTCCCTCCCTATAGCAGCATCCCGTCTCTTCACAAACCACTCGTTTACCTTCCAATATTTCATCTCCACTAGGACAGATACATGCATTGCCCTAATGCCCTTGTAGACTCCATTTATGCTCTCCCCATGGTTGGTAGTTGCAATTCCGAATCTAGCCCCGTTGTCCATGTGAAATGTCCACATGTGCAGATCTTGACCTTCTGCCCATACTGCTCCCGCCCGGTGTATTTGACGGATCGTCTTCATCTTCTGCTCGTACTTTTTTGGTTGATGTGCAACCGCTACAAGACCGGAGAATTAATAATTAATCCATAAGAAATTTCATTTGAACAATAAACCATGAACAAGCACTGAATTACATTATTACCTGCACTCCACAATTGATCTCTTATGTCTTTCTTCTTGCCAAATTTGTGTTGGAAATTGGCTAGGAAGTGACGAATACACCAACGCCATGTCCATCCCCATTCGTCCGGGAAACCACGGACGGCGTGTTTAATCCCGGCATGTCGATCCGATATAATTGTAATACCCATTCTTTGTGTGACGTGGGCGTGTAGCTGGTCAAAGAACCATGCCCAACTTAGGTTGTTCTCCCCTTCAACTAATGCAAATGCTAAGGGAAAAATACTTAAATTTCCATCAACCCCAGTGGCAATAAGAAGAGTTCCTTTATACTTCCCAGTAAGGAAAGTTCCATCAACCTGTTAAAATGAATAATGAGTTAGTAAAAATTGAAATTTCAAAAGTAATGAAATAGTACAATATTTTGAGTCCGTAATATACCTGAATCACTGGCATGCAGAAGGGAAACCCGTCAATGCATGGCTTGAATGTCCAGAACAGACGATGAAACATCAACTCGTTCTGTACTCGAACTTGATCTTCAGTTTCTACGTTGTTGTACCAAGGCACGAAAACCGTCCCAGGGTTGGACTCCTCCATTGCCGACATTAGTCTGGGGAGTAAAGCATACGAGTCATCCCAATCACCGTAGACATCAGCCATGGCCTTCTGCTTCCCATGCCACGCCTTCTTATACCTTATGGTGTAGGAGTGTCGATCCTTCACCTCCGCCATGATAGCTTTTATCTTGATATCTGGTTGTGCCTCGATAAGGTGCTTAATGGTTCTTGCCACTTTTTTTGCTTTCAGTTGCCGGTGATCCTGTGAAAGTATGGTTGAGGAGCAACTGTGGTTGTTCTCTACTGTCCGCATGACCCAGACCCCCTTTCTCTTCATATATGCAGCACGAAGTTGCCACATACAACCCTCTCCAGCATTCTTACAAATGACATGCAGTTGTCCCTTGTCAGAATATTTTACCTTCCATTCGAAATTACGCCGCATGGCTTCTTCGCTAAAAGCGTCTTGCACATCGGCTTTCGAAGTGAACGCCATACCCACTTCCAAATTAGCAGTCGGATTATACACAGGCATGGGCCGAAAGTCAGGGGCATCGTTCTGACCATATAAAAATTGATCAGGAACCTCTGTGTAGTAAGGCGTTGGTGCCTGTCGGAACGCCACCTCACTGTCATCGATATCGTAGTTATCGTCCGTATCTTCCTCCTCACTGACTGATCTCAAATCTTCCTCACTTTCATCGTTACTGGAGGCGAATGGATAGCTCGGCGAAGGATGGTCATCGTTAGCAGCATAACCAGCATCGCCTTCTTGGTCATGCGAAGTACGCCCAGTTCGAAGGGTGTTTTCAATGTCACCCCACTCTGGACCCCAAGCAGGCCATTGATCACCGTCGGGCTGAACGATATCGACGGCAGTCTCACCACCATGTGGCAGGTATTCTTCCCACCCAACACCTCCTTCAGAACTACCTCCTCCGTAGTTGCTTGAAGTACCTACCCAACCATACCCTCTGGCAGAAGAACCTGCTCCGTAGTTACTTGAACTACCACCCCAGCCATACCCTCCTGCAAAACCATCATCATAAGAATACTGGTGAGAATGAGTTTCACCGACCGGCTTGGTCTCGACATACACCTCTGCAAGCCGCACCCCGTTCTCAGATATGAACTGTGTCATCATGTTCGCGTCGTCATCATCATTTATGTCAACTTTTTCGTACATGACTCCGTCAGCACTCATGTTGGGATACCGGTAAGTAATTTGACGAACTCTCATTTGCCCGCCCGTACAAGTCCTTTCTGCACACCTGTCATGGAGTTCTTGCCACGAGAATCTTGACTCAATTGTAAGCATACTGGATTCGCCATCTTCATAGTCGATCCCAATGTTCGAGTTTGTCACCCGACCATTCCAATAAATAATAAGCCGAAACTTCTTAAATTTACCCATGTCTGCAATTTATAATAATTAAGTATAGTATACAATTAGTACATTATGGATACAAAAACAAAACAAACCCATAATAAAATGCAACTAATTGATCTATTATGAGAAAACTAAACAAATTAATCTAATTCAGTACCAACTAACCAACATCTATCATATCATAATTAATCTAAATATATCATAACATATTTTCCAATAACCGCGATTCACTAAATACAGACATATTCATACTAACAGCTCAACATGTAAAAAATACATACTTATAACATACTCAATCCCGATCTATCATGAGAAAACTAAACAAATTAATCTAAATTCAGTACTAACTAACTAACATCTATCATATCATAATTAATCTATATATATAAACAATACATAATTCTAACATACCGAATCCCGACGAGTTTCTTGAGCAGTAAACCAACTCCAAACCAGCTGAGAAACCGACTAAAAAAACAGGGTTTGTTGTATTTGGTTGCTGTAAGGCAGCAGCAGGAAGGAAGTGGGGTTCGGAATTTATAGGAAAAAATGGCTGCTAATCACCGCTTTGGACAATGGCGGTGAACACATCATCGCTGTTGTCCAAAGCGGTGATAGCTAGGTCGCTGTGACCTAATTTTTCCACCTACCAGGGTAGAAAAACGTGGTCAATTATCACCGTTGTTGACCACCGCGATGTTATCACCGTTTCCCATAAACGCGGTGAAGAGATCGATTATCACCGTTATTCTGAAAGGCGGGGATGTGATCACTGTTGTGGTCCAAAGCGGTGAAGCTATCACTGTTGTGGTCCGAGGCGGTGAAGCAATCACTGTTGTGGTCGAAAGCGGTGATGTTATCCCCGCTTTACTCAAAAGCGGTGATACCTTCCCCGTTTTTTACCAAAGCGGTGATCTTCATCACTGTCTTGGACAAAGACAGTGATGCTGAAACTGCTGTATTTTGGGAAAAAAGTTTATAAGTATTGTATTTGAGGAATTTTTTTTAATAGGTAGAGTATTTTGGGATTTTTTCCAGAAAATAGCGGCTAGGGTTAGGTGTCTGCTCAAATGGGTTCGTATTACCGATCATCATTTTTTCCCCGTCGCCACTGACCTCTGCTTCGGAAAAGAAAGACAAAAAATAAAAGTCTATTCCGTTATTCGAACCACTGACCAGAGCGTTTTTCATAAAAACGCATCAACAATCTGTGCCACTAGGCTGGAAGCCCACAATTTGGTCACATGTAAACTTCAATCGATCAAGTATTGATTAATTTGTATACTTAAACATATCCTTAATGCGGAATGTCAGATGGTCAATAGACCATGCTAGCATTCTCGTATTAAATCTCAAATCTGATTTCCAAAGGTTCTAAAATGTGTTTCAACTTTCCAATATCAAACCTTAACACATACCAATAAGACTTATAGGGTTCCATTTTACTAAAATCTTTTCTCATAAAGC